TCGCGTTGGCGCGTTCGTCTCTGTGGTAGCGGCTGTCGGTGTGGGCCTTCTCCTGAGGGGGCTGGGGCATGAAGCTGAAGTCAAAGCCGCCGCTGGGTGCGCCGGGGGGACCAGGGGGTCCGGGAGGTCCGGGGGGACCCTGTTGGAGGAGGAGAGCAGAATGAGTTGAAGGCCGGGAGCCTTCCCCACCTAGAGGCCAGCAGCCCCCAACCGCCCGAGCCCCAGAGGGATACGTACAGCGGGACCAACGTCACCAGTGCGACCACGTGGACCTGGTGGGCCAATGGGGCCGGGGAGACCGTTCAGACCATCTTTGCCAGCGGAACCGGCGGAGCCAGGGGGACCCTGCAAGGGAAAGGCAAACACAGCGTGAGCGCCATGGACATGCCTGGCTCTCCCACCCAGCTCTCCTGCCTCTGCTCTGAGCGCCCCCAGAGCGCATCGAGCACCATGGCCACGGAACCAAGGCCCACGCTCCACGGCGGAGACACTTGGATCCACTAATGCCAGGGGCTGGGAATGGGCTTCAGGGAAGGGATCACTCCCTGCTCTGGTCGCTCCCTCTGGCCTTGGCCGCTGCCGGCAGGCAGGACACCGGGGGCCACTCTGATGGGCAGTGGAGGGATCGTTCTGGATTTGCCCAGGTCCAGCTGAGAACAGAACCGGACTCTGTCTTTGCCCGTGCTGGGGACTTACAAGGGTCTCTCCCTCTGGGCTGTGGGGTCCCTGCAGGAGGGCTCTGGCTTGAGGAGGTTCCCTCTCCGTGGGGTAATGCGTGTTCCCTTCTCTGCCGTAGCGGGGGGGGAAGAGCTGTGCTGTGACCCGGGGCCCCTGCGCTGGGCTGTGTGATTCCCACTGACTCACCCACACGTGGATTAACCCAGACCCCGGGGCTCAGCCTGAGGCGCTAACGGGGGATTCCCAGGGGGAGACCAGTTGCTGGCGGGGAGACAGGAGGGAGTGAGCCTACGCTGAGGTCTAGGGGGTGATGGACCCCCCCAACACAAGGGATCTGAGGCATCCCGGCCCAGACTCCTGTAGCCACGTCCCGTCTGTGCTGGGCTGTAGCAGGGAGGAGCAATAACCCCCCTCTCGTCTCTGGCTGGCGGGGTCTGTTCTATGTTCTGCAGGGGTGCAGGATTTGGGGGAGCCCCGACCCAGCGTCACATCTTCCCCTCACCACCTCTCAGGCTGCCCCACACGGACGTGGCCTCTCCTCGAGGCACAGCCCTTCGGAGGTGGCCGAGCACAGGGCCGGAGGAGCTCTCCTGGCCGCAGCAGGCCTATGTTCTGCATGCCCAGGGCTCCCGCTGGCGACTACACTAGGATCCGTATTCTGCCCCCGGCGAGGTCTGGGCCAGCCCAGCGCGGGGTCAGGCAAGACCTGAGCTGCACACGATGAGGGGAGCTGTGGGGTTGGTCTGGTGCGAACAGTGGCTGGTTATTTCATTCCGAGCCCTCCGCCCCACATTCCCTCTGGCTGCCGGTGTCTGCCTTGTTCGGGCTCGGGGGACTTACCCGTGGGCCGGCGGGACCGGAAGCTCCAGAGGGACCTTGCTCGCCAGGAGAGCCCTGCCCCGAAGAGGGAAGGAAATGTCAGTTCTGCCAGAGGCGCCGCGTGCGAGAGACGGTCCAGCCAGGCTGCTCCTTGGGGCCACGCTGGAGGCTCTAGGGTGCTGCCCTGGGCCGGTGGGGGCTGAGGCCCGACCCCCGCCCTTCCCAGCTGCAATCGCAGCAGGGGTAGGCCTGAGGCTGGTCCTCATCTCATGGCCTGCCCTGGGATTCTCCCAGGATGCTCTGGGGCAGCGAGGAAGAGGGCTCCGCGTCGCCCTGGGAAGTGGCTGGAGGGCTTGTCCCTGGGGGGCCGCGGGGGGCAGCCGTACTCACGGGAGGGCCAGGTGGACCCTGGAGACCAGAGAATCCTCTGTGACCCTTCATGCCTCTGTCGCCATGTTCTCCAGTTTCACCCTTGTCGCCGCGGGCACCTTGGGGGCCCTGGAAGAGGAAGCAGAGTCACTGGCTGAGTGGTGGGGCCAGCGCCGCCCTAGCCCCAGCTCAGCCGCCTTCTTGCCGAGCCGGCTGCTTTCTCAGCTCCAGAAACAGGCGTGGAACCCGGAACTTACAGCAGGGCCACGAGCACCAGCAGGACCAGCGGGGCCGGCGGGACCAGCGGGGCCCTAGGGAAGGAGGGAGAAAGGCGAAGGTTAGAGCATCCTCGGATGCTGAACGGGTCTCTGTGTTCACTCCTCTGCCTGGCAGGGGGGGCGTCCTACTGGCTACAGCAGGGCAGACTGGGAGTCCGGGCTCCTGAGTCTCAGGCCTGACTCTGAAAAGGAGTATCACCTAGTGGTTAGAGCAGGCTGGAGCCGGACCTGATAACTGGGCTGATTATTTTTTATCTTCCCAGTTGTGTTCCCGGGTTCTCTCCCCAGTTCCGGGAAGGGGCGGTGCCCTCGCAGCCAGGACTCGGGGGTTCTGTCCCCCCCGCAGGGCAGGGAGCGGGTTGCATGTTTAGGGGAATGCAAAGAAGCGTCACTTACAGTCTCTCCACGATCTCCATTCTTGCCAGAGGGACCAACAGGGCCGGGGGCGCCGGGGGCACCGGGAGCACCAGGCGCACCAGCTGGGCCAGTCTCACCACGGTCGCCCTGTTGGGAAGCAAAACTCAGAGTTCACGTTCGCCTAAGGGGCGTCCCTCTCCCACCCCAGTGCGCCTCCTGCCACGGCCCTTGGGCCCTACTCACCTTGGGACCAGCAGCTCCGTCGCGGCCGGGGGCACCTTCCGCACCAGGAGAGCCCTGAGCACAAGCAGAGGCCAGTGTTAGGCACGAGCAAGGACTTGGTCAGAGGGTGAGCCAGGAGGCCGGGGACAGCAGCTAGAGACGGGGGGTGGGGGGTGTCGAGACCCACAGAGAATGGGGGAGGGGAAAGGGACCCATGGGGCTTCCATTTCTCTGGCCCATCCCCTTCTCCCTCAGACACTCTGCTGTTCCCCCATCTCGGGCCCCTTGCTCACTGGCCCTGCAGGAGACAAGGGCCAGGGTCTGTCCTGCCCTTCCGTGGGGCAGGCGGCTGGGCACCTGAGCGCTGGCCCGGGGCATGGGGAGGCTGAATTCTCCTTGGCTCTGGTGCTGTCCTGGTGATTGAGGTGGGTCACGGAGCCCACGATGGTGACAGGTGCCCTCTAGTGACTCCCAGCAGGGCTGCGGGACCCCCGAGACCTGTGCACCCCGGCTTTCAGCGCTTCCCGGCGGCGTGCCCACCCCCCCCCCGTCCAGCTGGGCCAGGGGGGCCGGCCAAGCCGGGGGGCCCGACGGGGCCAGGAGGACCACGCTCACCAGAGGGGCCAGATGGACCTTGTTTGCCAGGTTCGCCCTGGGGAGGAGCGAGAGCAGCCCGGGTTAGAGGCGCGGCTGAGGCTGCCAAGCCTGCTCGGACGGGAAAGAGGCCGGGGCCCTCCC